AGAGAGAGAGAGAGAGAGAGAGAGAGAGAGAGAGAGAGACTGAGCCTAGATCTCAGAACAGGTATCTCGAGGCTTGAAAGATGGTTCCATGGTTAAGAGTACATCCTGCTCTTGCAGAGGACCAGAGTTTAGTTCTCAGTGCCGGTCTTAGTTAGGGTTTCATTGCTGTGAAGAGACACTATGACCAAGGCTATTTATTTGAGGCTGATTTACAGGTTCAAAGGTTCAATCCATTACTATCAAGGCAGGCAGCATCCAGGCAGAAATGGCACAGGAGGAGCTGAGAGTTGTACATCTTCATCCAAAGGAAACCAGGAGCTAGGAGGAGGGTCTCAAAGCCCACCTCCACAATGACACACTTCCTCCAACAAGGCCACACCTCCTAATAGTGTCACTCCCTGGGCCAAGCATATTCAAACCACCACAGTGCCCATATTGGTAACCCCAGCTCCCTGAGATCTAACCCTGGCCTCTATAGACAACTGCATTCATATGTGCACACACACACACACACACACACACAATTTTCTTTTAAGGTATCTTTAAATAGAAGGAGACAAGGCTGTGGCCCAAAGAGACAGTGATGACCCCAACACTAACAAAGAGTGTAATGTAGACCCAGTTGATCTGTTAGCTAAGGTGCCTTTCACCTGAAGGAGGGAAGCACAATTGGTCTCTGATCTCTGGAAGCCTCTCCATTGCCAACTCATAGGTACAGAGAGCTGCTTTGGGGGTTGGCAAAAACAGAGCAGACAGGAGAAAAGGAACCATTTGTGGGGCTTCTACTCTGAATATCTCTCCTTCCTGTAACAATTCTGTGAATTCCAACAATTCTGTGAAGACTCATGGTATTCAGCTGGGAAGGCAGGTAAAGAGGTCAAGGAATCGGCCCAAATGTAGGATACCCAGATGATGGCTCAGATCTGACCCTGACCCCTCATCAGAAGCCAGAGATCTTATTGCTCAGTTACTGAGCCTCTGCTGTGTTCAAAAGATAGTGCTGAGGCTGGGGAATCGGCCTAGGGGCTAAGAGCACGTACTGCGCAACCGTGAAGAACCAGAGATTAGATTCCAGTGCCAATATAACAAACCAAGAGTCATACAAATCCTACAGCCTCAGTCCAAGGGAAAGTAGGAACAGCCTGACTGGAGCTTACTGGCTTCCAGTCCAGCTGAGAAAACACGTGCTCCAGGTTCAAGAGACCTTGACTCAAAGGAATGGGGCAGAGGGGTGGAGGGAGACACCTGCTGTCCTTTTCTGGCCTCTGTGTGGAATCACACACACTGAGAGGCTGGAGAGGTGGTTCGACCACAGGCTGCTCTTCCAACTCCAACACCCACAGGACAGCTCACAAACTGTGACTCCAGTGTCAGAGGATCCAACACTCTCTTCTGACCTCTGTGGCACCAGAACATAGGTAAATATGTAAGCAAAACATCCATACACACAAATCTCTAAGAAGAAAAAAAAAAAATGGCTGGGCAGTGGTGGCGCACGCCTTTAATCCCAGCACTTGGGAGGCAGAGGCAGGCGGATTTCTGAGTTCAAGGCCAGCCTGGTCTACAGAGTGAGTTCCAGGACAGCCAGGGCTATACAGAGAAACCCTGTCTCGAAAAAAAAAAAAAAAGTGTTTATGCAGTTAACTAAAAAAAAATATTTTTAAGGTAGTGCTGAACCAAGTGTGTATTCTTGATATCCTAGCACCTGAAACCTAGAGTCAGGAGCGTCAGGAGTTCAAGGTCAGCCTAAAGAAGATGAGACCCTGCCTTACCTGAGAAGATTTACAAATTGTGAAAATTAAACAACGTATACTTTTTTTTTTCAAGACAAGAGTTTCTCTGTGTAGCCCTGGCTTTCCTGGAACTCACTCTGTAGACCAGGCTGGCCTCAGACTCATAGATCCGCCTGCCTCTGCCTCCCAAGTGCTGGGATCAAAGGTGTGCACCACCATTGCCCTGTTACAACACACTCTTTTTATAAAACAGTTTTAGGTCTTGTGATGGGAGCATGGGGGCACATACACCACAGGACATGTGTGGAGGTCAGAAGACAGCTCTCCAGAGTTGATCCTTCCACCAAGGAAACTCAGACCAATGACTGAGCCATGGTGTCAGCCCAACAAAATCTGTGAGTTACAGAAAAATCACCAAGGAAATGCAGAGACACTTAAATAAAAGGGCCACAGTTGGCAAACTCCTCTTCCAGCCGGTGCACACACGCTCAGGTACCTTTTTACTGAGCAGTCCCTTTAATCCTTGGGACCCCCAACTCTGCCTTGTAAGACAGCAACAGCAAAAGCAAATAACAGCAGCAGCAGCAGCAGCAACAAACCCCTGCAAGCTGATGTGCTGCTGGCAAGGACACCTGCTCAGTGAGGAATTTGCTGCTGTAAATGTTTTCGAGAGAAAACAAGATTAGAGCAGAGGTGGGTGCACAGAATAGAGAGTGAGAAACTGCTCAAGTTCAGTAAAATCCAAAGCTGACTCTTTGACAGGATTTCCCCGGATTCATAAACCTTTCAATGGTCCCACACTTATCAAAACCAGGAATGACTATGGAGACATTACAACCGATTCTACAGAAATAAGAGGGTCAGTTATAAGACAGAATGAATGTGTATCCACAGGTGAAGTAAACTGGGTGAGCCAGGCCCAAAGCCCACCAAGACTAAATCAAAGGAATGTATTTACAGTCACAGCTGCAAACTAGTGACGAGATTAAGTCAGTCACCTAAACTCTCCAGGCAAAACCCTGGACCTACTGGCTTAACATGCAAATTCTACCTAAATATTTAAAGATCTGATGCCAATATTCCTTAAATGTTTACAAGAAATTGAAGAGTGGCGAGCACTTACTAACTTGTAAAGCCAGTATCACATTGATACAAAGCCCACATTCTTAAAAACCTAGAAGAGGCTGGGCAGTGGTGGCGCACGCCTTTAATCCCAGCACTTGGGAGGCAGAGGCAGGTGGATTTCTGAGTTCGAGGCCAGCCTGGTCTACAGAGTGAGTTCCAGGACAGCCAGAACTACACAGAGAAACCCTGTCTCGAAAAACCAAAAAACAACAACAACAAAAAAAAACAAACAAACAAACAAAAACCACCTAGAAGAATGTGTCATGATAAACACTGATGTACAAATCCTCAAAATCAGGACAACTGGAATGGCTCAGCAGGTAAAGGGTTTTGCTGCGCAGTCCTAGTTACCTGGATTTGATTGCCAGAACTCAGGTAAAAGCAGAAGCAGAGAACCGACTCCAAAGCATTTTGCTCCAGTGTCCACGTGCACGCCTCTGCCATGTGGTAGATGACAACGATGAGAAAGAAGACTCCTCAAGGAGATCCCAAGCTTAGCATATGAAAAGATTATTTACCAATCCCAAATGGAACTTGTTCCTGGAAAGCAAGGGGGGTTTGATGAAGGAACCAGTTGCTAAGATTGTAGGTATGTGCGTACCATGATGTCAGGTTATTTCCCCTGGATTTTTTTCTGCTGTGCGTATATGTGAGTTTATGTGCATTTTCATGTGTGTGCAGGTACACATGTATGAGCGTGCAGAAGTCAACCTCGGGCATTCTTCCTTGTGAGACATCTATTTTGTTTTGTGAGACAAGATCTCTTATTGGGACATGGTGGAGGGGGGCACACAGAAGCTGAGTTCTATAGTCTACAACGTGTGGGAGTAAAGAAGGATCCATCCTCCTCTGAACCAGTGCTCATTCCGGTGCTGAGGACAACAGGGACCCTATGTGTCTTAGTTAGGGTTTTATTGCTGTGAACGGACACCATGACCAAGGCAACTCTTATAAGAACAACATTTAATTGGGGCTGGCTTACAGGTTCAGCAGTTTAGTCCATTATCATCAAGGTAGGAACATGGCAGCATCCAGACAGGCATGGTGCAGGGAAGGTGAGAGTTCTACATCTTCATTTGAAGGCTGCTATTGAAGACTGGCTTCCAGGCAGCTAGGATGAGGGTCTTAAAGCCCACACCTACAATGACACACCTATTCCAACAGAGCCACACCTTCTAATAGTGCCATAAACCATCACACTATGCCTGTCTGGGTTGTAAGTGTGCAAGCCAAATTCACGAAGTCAAGATAATGCAGCCAACAGCAGATTAATGAGCTAGAGGAATAGTGGGACAACCAGTGCCTCTAGACACCTCTGTAGCTGGTAGGTGGTGATGGCCAGGGAGGACATCCACGGACCTAAACATCGAGCTGTCCCATTTAACTCCTGGTTGGTCCACTCCCCAGCTGCCCGAGGGTTCTCTGAGTCTTAGCTTTGTCAGTTCCTGAACTCTGCAGGAATGCTGGGAGCTTCACTTGAAATGTGAAATTTTCAAATGAAATTTTTTCCTATGCCAAGAGCTGTTCAGAATGCAACCTGGCATCCAATCGACACTGGCTCCTTTCTTGGGGATAGCTACGGGGCACACAGGGGGACTGTGTTCCGTGAAACTGGGTAAAAGAAAGGAGAGACAGGACAGAAGGACAAATAGAAGACCACCAGCAGTGTAGGCCAGTGACAGGAAGGAAGCAGGTCAGGTGAGGACTTCAAGCAGGGCAGGTGTGACTGTAAACACCCTAGCATCTGCTATCTGCTATCCTCCCAGCAGAGATAAGAGCCTCACCCCCCTGGGGAGAAAAGGCTCAGTAAATC